CTGGCAGTTGGGGCTATGGCCAGCTCCACAGTTCCATGTCATGCCACCCAATACTCTTGGCCTAAGAAGCTGAAGAAGAGCCAGCCTCCAGCCCTCCCTCTTTACCCCCTCAGTAGAACTTCCCTAGAGCAGAGGCCTGGACTAAGGCCCCTGACTCAGCTGTGCTCAGAAGATGAGTCGCCCTCTGCATGTATCAGGTCTGTAAACAGGCATGTCAGCCAGCCCTTCACAGTGGTGTGGTGTGATCAGGAATCACGGTGGCTCAGGGGATCGAGGACTGGGTTATACAGCTCAGGGAGTAGCAAGTCACTGTCTGGTCAGCTCCTGAACTGACCCCGCCTCCCACCACAGGCTGTGTGGTTAGCTTTGCAGGAAACTGCCCTATCATTAGCCAGCGTGGCCCTCCTAGTAGCAGCCTCTTGCTACCCCAGACAGTTCCTGGCAGAGCGTCAGGGTGGGAGTGGGTACCCTAGATGAAGAGTGCCAGCATAACACCAGGCAGCTCTTGGATGCTCAGAGACTGGTAGCTACCCAGCTGAGCCAGGCCCCTGCTCCCCAGGGAGTGCAGCTGTGGCTGGTGGATTGCTTAACCCTTTGTGATTTCGAGTTGCCTTCCTCCCATCATTCCACACAAGCCCTCTGGGAAGTCTCTTAACTCATGAGAAGTTTGCAGGAAGGAAATGATGCCAGCACTGGGCCTCTGAAGCTCCTTAGAGTGTAGGTGAAGGGGAGGCAGTGGCTACCGACCAGAGGAGCTGGGTTGGGGGAGAAGCTTGACTCAAGAGGAGTACCTGGTCAATTTCTTCCTTTAGGGTGATCAGGCTATGGGTCTGATCCCCTAGAGAACTGAATGATGAAGTAGGGATGATGAAGGCAGGGAGTCCTGAGGAGATAGGCCTGGGACTGGTGATAGGAACCGACCTACTACCCAAGGCTTGACCTCCTTACCTTCCAGCTCTACAGGCTATGGGGGAATGGGGTGTGGGTGCATTGAGCCTTGGTTGCTACTCTGACATAAAGACAGTAGTTCTAAGGTGCTCGTGGGCCTCGGAGCCCCGTGTGTTAATGTTTTCAGTGCCTGTCACACCTTCTGGGGGTGGCAGCAGGGTGATCTGTGAGAAAGAGAAGCCAAGGTTTTTGATGCAGTTGTTCTGTCTAGATGTCTAGACTCTAGAAGGTGGAAAGAGGATTGCTAGGGAGAGAAGGGAGCTTTTGGATCCGTGTGTTGTTTGGTGGGCAAATGGAAGATCTGTCTTGGGGCTCAAGGCCACACCCCTTTTCACCCTGTGTGCATGACATGAGTAGGGCTGTGGGGTTGCTACTCATGTCCACCTGTATTTATGTGACTGTAGCTAGAGACCAGCTGTAAGGACAGCAGTGCTCCACCTAGAAGTCCTCAGTCTGCCACCAGCCCGGTACCCTCAGAGACTTCCCAGACAGCCAAGAGTCCCAAACCCACGCTCACTATGAATGGCCTAGGGGCTGCCTCAGCTGAGGGCCCAAATGAAGAGGCCCAAGGGCTGTCCCGGAAGCGGGTGGCGAATGCAGTGAGAAAGGTGGTCAGCAAGGTGCTGCCTGGTGAGGAGCCCGGGAATGCCAAGGAGCCTCCAGGCCGAGGAGCCAAGTCCCCTGAGCACCCAGCTCGCGGCAAGAAGGGAGAAAAGGCAGCCTCTAGTCCCAAGCCCCCCCCACCGCCGCCGCCGCCTCCTGCTCCACCAAAGCCTGAAGCAAAGAAGGAGGCAGCCAAGGACGAGCTCTCTGTGGGCCTACGCAGTCTGATGTCTAGGGGCCGAGGCAAGGACCACAAGTCCCGCAGCAAGCAGCCTCCTGGGAAAGGGGAGAAGGCCCCCAGCCAGGAGCCAGCCTCCTCTGGAAAATCAGGCTCTCCAGACATGGTGGACTCCCCAAAGAAGGCAGGATCCCCAGCCAAGCCTGAAACCCCAAATAAGCAGTGCTCCCCAGCCCCAGCACAAGAGCTGGCTGACCCAAACTTGGCTGGCCCAAAGTTGAACCCCTCTGGAGAGCAGCAGGCCAAGACACCAGCCTCTGATGTGCAGCAGGAGGTACCAGAGTGTGCCACTAACCTATGCCCCTCACTACTCTCACTGGAAGGCTTTGCACCCTCATGGTGGCTTCCTCAAGCCTAAAGGAGCCTTGCATGATCCAAGCTGGCTCAGGGCTATGTGCCCACCCGTGGCAGAGGCTGCATGACTTTCATTAACCTTGTGCCAGAATGAGTGACGGCCTGGACTCTGGCCTGGCTGCTGAGAGGGGAGCTGCTAACCAGCATGCTGCAGGCCTTTCCATGAAAGTCAAACCCTGAGTCTTGGCAGATGAGCACAGGGTGGAAACAGGTTTCTTAAGTTATGTGGTCCAGGCTCACATCCTCAGTCTCACCCCTGGGAGACTTCAGCAAGGTCCGTCACCAAGGGCCTGTCTGTCAAGCGGGGAGTTATAATGTAGGTCCTTAGTCCCTTCTGTGAAGCCTTAAGTACTGGGAATTAGTCATTTTTATATCTTAGAGTGATTTATGGTATACATACAAGTAGCTACCTGTAACCACCTTGTGTGACTATGTCCAAAGCAAACCCATGAATAGTCTCACTTCAGGATTATAAAAGATCAATGTGGCTTTTGCCACCAGAATAATTAAGAAAAATCTTTTGTTTGGGGGATTCTTTGGAGTTTTGAATTACAAACAAGGAGTGATGCCAGTGACACATGGTGGCTGTGCTGATTAGATATGATACAGGTTGTGTGCCGAACCTGCTCCCTGGCACCAGGTACCCACGATGGTAGAACGACAGTGACGCTGATGACAGTCACTAATGCCATCACTGCTTTCTGCAGGCCTGGCCTGGGTGGCAGGTAGGCACAGTGAGTCCCTTTGTAGCTGCACTGCCCCAGCTTCACAGGTGTTGGCTCCTTGGCTGGTCCTGAGGTAGAGTCAGTTCTTTTCAAGCTCCTCCACCTTGCGTGTCCTGCTGAGGTCCTGTAGGATGTGTGTGTTGGGAGCGACATTAACTTTGACTCCGTTTCCATGAGCTTTCTCAGATTTCCTGTAGCTAGAAGGAGAGGAATGAGGTGGGTGCCAGGACACAGCCTGAGGGACCTTGAGGCACTCACTGGGTGCTTCCTCTTGGTAGCCATCTTTCCTGGAAGCTGTCTTGCCCCCATTCTTCCTGGGTATTGCAGGATGTAGAAGAAAGCCAGCTGCTACCCTTCCCCACCCTCCAGGACTGCTCTGTCAGGGCAGTGTGTTCCTGTCCCTCAGGGAAGAGTTGGCAGGGGCTTTCTGGCATGACGATCAGGGTAGGAGCTGAACCTTAGTTCCCTGGGGAACCTATAAGTAGCCAGAGAGTGTCATGCACCTCTCCTGGGCTGTGGCCTTCTCCTTCCAGCTCTCCACACCTTCTTCTTGCACTAGGGTGGAGTTGGGGGCTGTGACATGTCTTGACCTGGAGTTCATTTCCCACAGGTGGTGGGTGGATACTAGGGTTATTTCGAGGTCACAAAGACAGAGTGGTAGGAAGAAGTAACCCCAGGCCTCACAGGGACCTCCCCACCCGATCCTTTTTCATACCATAGTTTTAAAACTCAGATTGGCGTTCAGCTTGTCTCCCCGACCCTGCTCCACTTCTGCACTGGGTCCCAGTGGCTTCCTGTGCTAAGACCTTGGCATGTGGTACCCCCACTGTCCCCTGGGCCAGAACTAATAGTGGTTTAACCTTTAGACAGGAGCTGACCCCGAGGTCCGGCTGAGTCCTGCAGAGGAGGCACACCAGCGACTTGAGAGGATCTTCACAGCTTCTGTAATTAATGCCACCTCCCATGTGTGTAGGGCTCCCAATCCCTGGCCTTATTCTTCCCAAAGCCGTTGGCTAGGCTGTGTGTGTGTGTGTGTGTGTGTGTGTGTGTGTGTCTATGTGTGTGTGTGTGCGTGTGTGTTAGAAGGGAACTCCCTGGCTGTCTGTGAACCTTCACAATGGCTCTTTGGTTGAAGGAAGGAAAGCTGAGGCTGAACTCTATGGAATATTGATACTCCAGACAGCCCAGGGCCCTGTGACCACACAGAGGCCCTTCCTAGCTGGGGGTCCAGTCTCCTTCCCAAACCCTGGTCTCCTACTCTGAGGATGCTTATTGGTGGGAGGGCCTGGTGTATGGCAAGGCAGGAATCAGTGTTTCACATTTTGATGTCCCGTGTCTAGTCCCATGTGAATATTAACCCTTCTCATTTCTAACAAGCAATGTCCAAGGCTTTCCTGGCTCCCATTTCTGCCAGAAAGGCTTTGGAGGGCTTTAAGTAACCAGAATTTAGTGTAACTGACAAGTCTGTCTCAAGGGTTGGGTACTTGACAGGTAGCTAGGGTTCGAGCTGGGTGGAACGATACCTCTGCTTACAGTGTGATCACTGTGCCTGCCCAGGTGTGGAACATGGTGCAATGGGGGCTCGAAGAATGTGACTTAGATTTAGGCTGTCAGTTCCCTTGTGCTAGCTCTGAAACATAGCCCTTGGCATGGGGAGTGGCACCTCTGGACTTGTGTTTAGAGAGGACAGACAGCATTGGTGTCTGGTAGCCATAGGGAAGCTGGTACCCTGGGGGCGGAGAGAAAACAGGAGGATGAGGGAGGCAGGCGTTGGATGTTGTGACCTGGCCTACCAGGGGTGTGGGAGAGCAAGATTAATCCAGGGTGGACTGAATAGCCAGTCCAGGACAGACTGGCTAGAGACAGAGTGTCAAGATGCCTGTGTGCCACAAGAAATGACCCACAAAAGCCTTCCTTCTGTAGGGTCTGATGATAACAAGAACCTCTCCTGTCGAGGTCTGGCCTCTCTTGCCTAGCCAGCAGCCCAATCCCGGGCAAGTGCTCTTGATTCCCACTCTGAATGGGAACAGAGTGCTGGCTCATGAGTCTAGGGGTGTCTTTTGGAGGGGACCTGCAGTGGTCTCCACCTGTCTTCACCTTTTTCTCTTTCTCTCTTTGCTTGCTGCTGGTAGCTGGACCCCGAGGCCGCCTCTCCTGCCCACAGCCAGGTAGGGTGCTCCTGCCCCACCCAGGAGCCCTCTGCTTTCTCCAGTGACAACCCACCACCCCCACCCTGCACCTGGGCTGGCGTCTGTGCTCGGGCCTCCTGCTGGAGTGTAAGGCCTCTTTCCCTCTAGGTTCCCACTTTGTTTTGGGGTACCCAGGGGAAGCTGAGATGGTGCCGCTGTGGCCTTTGGGGAACTTCGTGGCCCCAGCTTTGCCTCTCAGCCACTGGAGCCCGGGTGCTGCTGCCCTGATCACTCTGGGTAGGAAAGCAACAAAAAGACCTTTCTTCTCCTTAACCCCAGTCTGAAGATGAGATGGTCTCTATCTCCACCTCCTGGTCAGTGTGAGAAACTTGTTCTCAGGCCATGACCCTTCCTTGTCTCCATGGCTATAGAACACGCTCACTCAGGACAAAAGTTTCACTTGGTTCATGTGATTTGGAAAAGACAACACTGATGGTTTATTTTTTGAGACAGAGTCTCTCTCTATACCCCTGGCTCTTCTAGAACTCCCTATATAGACCAGGCTGGCCTTGAAGGCAGAGCCTGCATCTGCCTCCTAAGTGCTGGGATCACAGGGTTACACTAACACTCCTTGTCCAATCCTTCAAATATTAAAAAATTAAAAAGCCAGCATTTAAAAATTTTCTCACTTAGACAAATCAAACATTGACAGCGTTGTTATGGTCAACCTATTAATCTCCCTCCATTTCAAATCTAAGAAATGTGATGAAGATTACACAATATTTCTGCTTACATGTTCTTGCCATTTTCTGATCCCTCACCCAGAGTTCGGTATCATGGGATGGTGTCTCTGCCTCAGTTTGGGGTCTCATGAGAAAGGGATACACGTAGAGTGAGAATCTGGGGGTTGCTCTCTGGGGAGAGTGTTGGAGCCAGTGTAAGCCTGAGGGCTGGTCTGCTTCTGGCGTGGCCAGCCTCCCTCAAGGTGCCATGACATTGCTGACATTTTGCACCCAAGGAGCCTGATATCCATGGTATCTAGGTCCCTTTTTGGTCCCAGTTTCTCTGGTGCCATTGTTTCCTAGTTCAAGTGCTCTCATTAGAGGGTGTCAGATCTGAGAGCCCCACACTCTGACAGTGCTTTTTTTCCCCCTTCCCTTCTCCTGGCCCTGCTCTCTCTGGCCCTGCTCGCTCCAGCCCAAAGGGTTTTTATTTATTAATTACATGTAAGTACACTGTAGTTGTCTTCAGACACCCGTAAGAGGGCATCAGATCTCATTATGGATGGTCGTGAGCCACCATGTGGTTGCTGAGATTTGGACTCATGACCTCTAGAAGAGCAGTCAGTGCTCTGAACCACTGAGCCATCCCACCAGCCCCTGACAGTGCTTATGAATGCCTGTTTCGATCAGTGACCTCTGACCTCTTGGCTTCCCAGCCCTTTCACACCCACTTTTGTGCTCCCTGTCTTTGACCAGTCAGCTCTGTCTCGTGCCCTTGCTGCCCTGTGCCCTCATGTGACACTAATATGCCCACTAGGCTTGTGCAGCTACAATCTTCCAAGTCTACAAAGGGGCCTCTGTAGACTGTGACTTGGAGGAGAAGGACACACACAGAGCATCTTCAGTCGAGAGCCCAGGGCCTCTTATCATTCCATAGCGCAGAATCCTAGGATGCAGGAAATGGCTCCTCCCATCTTAGGGGAAGAGCTCTTTCTTTTGGCATAAGAGAACTTGTGACTGTGGCCCAGAGATCAGGGCTTGAGTCAGGATGCAGATCTCACAGGCTCCTAGAGAGGAAGGAAAGAGGCAGTTGGAGGTGGGGCCTGGTGACTTGCTTTCCTGGTGCCTGTTCTCTCTAGGGCACAATGCTTCCTGTGTGCCTGAACCCTCAAAGTTACAATCCTGAATCTCACTGTCTTTGTCCTCAGTGACTTCTACCCTCCTTTCCTAGCCTCTCTCTCTCACACGCCTGTGTCCTGTGCTCCTACCTGACTTTTCCACTTGTCCAGCGGCTCCACTTGAAGCCCTTTCCTCCCTTGTCTCCTCCTCACTCTTGCTGCCCTTGTCTCTGATCTTTTAAAGCAATGTCTGTTTCTTCCCCCCGCCCCTCCGATAGGCCAAGTCGGAAGAGCAGATTGCCGCTGAGGAGGCCTGGTATGAGACGGAGAAGGTGTGGCTGGTCCATAGGGATGGATTCTCCTTAGGTGAGTCTTTGAACACTGGTTATAGATGGTGAGTCTTGAGTCAGAACTGGCATGAGGGAATGCCTCTGCTTCCTGGTAAAGGCCTGGTAGTGAGCAAGAAGAGGCTGGTGAGGCCATGGGGAAGAAAACAGGACAAGGCCTAAGGAGAGTAGTAGAACTCCCCAGGCCCAAGTCCAACTAACCCTGCTCTGCAGCCAGCCAGCTCAAGTCAGAGGAGCTCAGCCCACCTGAGGGAAAGGTGCGTGTGAAACTGGACCATGATGGAGCTGTCCTGGACGTGGATGAAGATGATATAGAGAAGGTTGGAAGGAGTCTGGGAAGGGAGGACACAGGCAGGGCAGGCCTTTACCCTGTGATGGAGATGCGACCTGTGTCTTCATTGTCTGTCTTCCCAGGCTAATGCTCCCTCGTGTGACCGGCTTGAAGATCTGGCCTCACTGGTGTACCTCAACGAGTCTAGCGTCCTGCATACACTGCGCCAGCGCTATGGGGCTAGCCTGCTACACACCTATGCTGGCCCTAGCCTGCTTGTCCTTAGCCCCCGAGGGGCTCCTGCTGTGTATTCAGAGAAGGTGTGCCTTCCTATGGACCCACCCGCCTGCCTTATCCTACCTTTTCCTGGTTCTCTACTCTTGGGTAGCCACTGAGTTCATAGTTGACTTCAGCAGAGGACTCAAAGGGTGGGGCCAGAGGGATATCCTGCAGTCTTTAATAGAGTTGACAAATATCTGCATTTCCATGCATGACCTGGCCCTCCAAATACCTGGGCATCTCTAGAGTGGCATTACAGAGACATGCACCCCCTAGAGGTAAGAGCAGGTGGGCCCAGCTCTAAGAGCCTCTCCCTTCCTTCTATGCCTCTGCTGTTCTAGGTGATGCACATGTTCAAGGGGTGTCGGCGGGAGGACATGGCACCCCACATCTACGCGGTAGCCCAGACTGCATATAGGGCGATGTTGATGAGTCGTCAGGACCAGTCCATTGTCCTTCTGGGTAGTAGTGGCAGTGGCAAGACTACCAGCTTTCAGCATCTGGTGCAGTATCTGGCTACCATTGCGGGCACCAGCGGGACCAAGGTGTTCTCAGGTGAGGCGGGCAGGGAAAACAGACGGAGCAGGGGTGTGGGGACAGGAGAACGATCCACCAAGATGCTGCCTCTCCCCCCTGGTTCCTTTCCCCCTGACTAACTCCCCAAGCCCAATCTGGGACATCCTGGAGCCCAGGCCTTGGGGGTGAGCTCTTCCTGAGTTTCCTGATGTCCCCTGGCTCTGTGCTCTGCAGTGGAGAAGTGGCAGGCTCTGTCCACCCTCCTTGAAGCCTTTGGGAACAGCCCGACCATCATGAATGGCAGTGCCACCCGCTTCTCCCAGATCCTCTCCCTGGACTTTGACCAAGCTGGCCAGGTGGCTTCGGCCTCCATCCAGGTAAGGGGCATTGCTCAGGCCAAGAGAGCAAAGATGGACCCTGGGTCATCCTCTCCAGGATTCCAGCTGATGAAATGGAACCCATGACAGCACAGGCAGGGTTGGCCTGGGCTGTCCCCAGTCTGCCCTCCAGGTCTCCTGCCTGTCTTCTCTTCCCGTCTCCACCATATTACTGGGAACCCCACCCTGCTCTGCCCACTTTCTGAGACCCAGGGACTCAGGACTTCTGTCAGGCTAGTGCTACACACTTGATAGTAAAGTAAGGCCCAGGCACACTGATCTTCTCTTCACACTGAATGAAATTTCTTTTTTAAAAGTTATGCTTACTTTGCTACATTGATTACATTCATAAGGCTTCTCTCTAGTATGTGTTCTTTTATGAAACTGGAGATGACTGGACTTTGCAAAAGCTTTACCACATTGATTACATTCATAAGGTTTCTCACCAAGATGTGTTGTGTTCCCTTATGACATTGGAGCTGACTGGATCTTGCAAAGGCTTTACCACATTGATTACATTCATGAGGTTTCTCTCCAGTATGTGTACTCATATGTTTTTGTAGATGACTTTGCCATTCAAAAGCATTACCACATTGATTACATTCTTAAGGTTTCTCTCCGGTATGGGTTTTTTTTTATGATATTGGAGATGACTAGATCTTGTAAAGACTGTATCACATTGATTATATTCATAAGGTTCCTCTCCGGTATGACTTCTTTCATGCCTGCAAAAATAATGGGCACGTGTGAAAGCGTTACCACATTCACTAGCCTGATCAATCATTTTACTAATATGAATAAATTTTACACTTGGTCTAATAATAAAGAACACTCAGATCTTAAGGTTTAAAAAAATAAAAGTTATACTTATTCATTTATTTGTGTGTATGTATGTACGTGCACACACACCTGCATATCACAGCATGGAGGTCAGAGGGCAGCTTGCTGGGGTCGCTTATTTCCTTCCATCATGTGGGTCCTGGGGATTAAACCCAGGTTGTTAGGTTTGGTGGCAAGCGTTTTTGTCTAAGCCATCTTGCCATCTCCTGAATGAAGTTTTTTGCCATAAGCGTCCGTCACCCTAAGAAGGCTGATGATTCCTGGGTACTGGGCATGGTAGTGCCCACCTCTACCCCCTGTTCTAAGAGTTGGGAACTTCCTTCTTTTGCCTGGCTCTAGTTTCTACTTTTGCTGATCTTGAAGTGAAGTGGTAGGCGGGTGAGCACCTGGGAATAGGATGCCCTGCTGGCTCTCTGGACTTGGAGGATCATGGGTAGGAGAACTGTGACCCTTCTTCCTCACCTCTGCTTTGCCAACAGACAATGCTCCTGGAGAAGCTGCGTGTGGCCCGACGCCCAGCCAGTGAGGCTACTTTCAATGTCTTCTACTACTTGCTGGCCTGTGGGGATGCCACCCTTAGGTGAGATTGGATGGGGCTCTAATGGGGCAGTGGACTCCAGCCCACTGACTAGGATTCTGGGCCTTGCCAGCTTCTGGCCCACCGTGCCCATGTCCATCACCTTCTGTGTGCTGGCTCCAAGCTGGGCCCTAGGGACGGTAAGATTATAGAGACTCAGGCCTTGCCATTTAGCAATGACTTGATCTGAAATCTTAGGGTCATGTCATATGAAGGGGCTACAACTGGCCCCTTGGTGTTCAGTTGTCTCCAGGTCTGGGGAAGAAGCTCACCTGGATACAGGTGACAGCTAGCTTGCCTGCAGTTGTACAGTTGCAGTACAACTGCTGAGATAGTCTGAAAGCCATGCCTTCTCCAGTACCTCCAGCTGGCCCTCAGCCACCTGATGGATAACTTCTACCGTGTTCTTCCATTTATGCCTCAGACTGGCTCCCTGCTCATGGCCAAGCAGGTGGCTCCAGGCACCCTCTTCAGTGCCTTTTACAGCAGAGGCACAAATGTGTTTCCCACAGGCTCCCTGCTCCTCTCCAGGCTTTGACTATACCCTTTCTTCTAGGGAGGTGGATGTCCTTCTGAGGCATCCAATCCAGTTAGGAAATGTGGCAGACCTGGCTGGGTGATTGGGGTGATGGGAAGACAGAACACAGTCTGAAAGCTAAGATTAGTTGTCATCCCTGAGAGGGATATGGCCTCAGCCTGGGGACCAAGCCTCATGCTGATGCCTCATTTGTACCCCTAGGACAGAGCTCCACCTGAACCATTTGGCTGAGAACAATGTGTTTGGAATTGTGCCATTGTCCAAGGTGAGAGCCCACCTCTGGGAACTGAGTTGGTGGCTCTGGGGCTAGAAGCCTCCATTGGCAGACGGTTCCTCATGGGTGGTTCTAGCCTGGCCCTCCATTCCCAGAGGGTGCAGCATATGGGAAATGCTGGAAAGGCAGCTCTCTGAGGTTCAGAGCCAGCACTGCTGTCTCCCCTCCAGCCTGAGGAGAAGCAGAAGGCTGCTCAGCAGTTCAGTAAGCTACAGACAGCCATGAAGTTGCTGGCCATCTCCCCTGAGGAGCAGAAGGCCTGCTGGCTCATCCTGGCTTCCATCTACCACTTGGGGGCTGCTGGAGCTACCAAAGGTAATGGGCAGCCTGTCCTGTTACCCAGAATGCCTTGGAGGCCCCTACCCATTTGTGTTGTTCATTCTTGTCCCACATGTTATGTCTTAACATTCAGCTGTTACCAGACAACCTTCCCCCGCCCCCACACATGGTTTGACCTGTACCCCATCTCAGTACTCCACATCAGAGCAGGCTAGAGAAACATCTCTGTCCACGATGGCCTGAGGCTGGGCCTTAGCTGTCAAGAAAGAGTGAGGTGCGGGCAGGTGGGTGGGTGGCTCCGGTGTAGGGTTGAGGGATGGAAGGTACTCCCTCAGAGCAGCAAGTGACTCTCCTTCTTGTTCCCTTCCTGATAGAGCCCCTTGAGGAACAAGCCGGTAACTAACCTTGGCATACCTTGGGATGTAGGGACCTGCTTGACTGTCTTGGTGCTTCCCTGGGCTTCTGGGCACTGGGCTCATTCTCACAGCATGGAGAACTGGTCTAAGGAGAAGCCCTATTTGTGGATAGAAGAAGAGCCTGGGAACTGTGGGACTTCTTAGAATCCCACCCCCACCCCCATGTCAATTTTCCTTCTCATTTGCATCCAGAGCCTGGGGCTTCCTGAGGCCAGTTTCCCCATCTTTCAATCCACTGGTTTGGTAGTTGCTGCTCTTTCTCCTGCATGTCAGGGTGGTGGTCACTAGGGGGCAGCAGGCACCTGGTGATGGATGGCTTAGCACTTGGGATCCATCCATGCTTGTGGATGGCTGGGGTGCAATCTGAATTGGAAGACTGTTCTCTTCTTTGAATATTGCACTGAAGCCCAGGATTGTAGCAGCTCTTTACCCCCTTTCCCTTCTGCCTTGCAAAAGGGGATGCTGGCTCTGGACAGCACTTCTGGCTTTTGTTCTCTCTGTCTTCTTGGAGACAAGAAAGTCCTGCTTAGCAGGAGTTGGGAAGCACTGGTGGCTGTGGGTGGGTGCATGCAGAAGCAAGTGTCCAGGTGTCTGGTCTTTATGAGAGCAGCTTTGGGTTAAAGAGGTGACCTACGGACTGTTGGACAAAAGGGTGTGAGGGCGTGTAGTCATCTCTTGAGAGAAGTGCTTGTTCTCTGAAGAGTCAGGCCCAGGTTTCCTTGACCCTTCTCAGTCGTGACTGCAGGTGGAAGGCTCTCTGAGTGTTGATTAGTGTCATTCTCTCCTCAAAAGTTTCTAGTATTTCCCAGATGTGTGTGTGTGTGTACACACAAGCACACACAAGCATATGCACAGTAGGACATCTGTGGGTCTCTGTCAGTGTGATGGCATCCACAAACACATTCCTTTGAGACTGTATCTCATAGCTAAATGTGATCGTGTTTTCTTGCCTGCTCATCTTCATAAACCCCTGCCTCCCACAGTCCCTTCCCAAGGGCCTGGCGGGCTCAGTTGATGACTGTTTGCTAACACACTGTTTTTCTTTGCATGCTGCATGCTGCTCCTTTGCCTTACAGAAGCCGCTGAAGGTAAAAACCTTGTTTCTTGTTGGCTTTCCCTAATTGCTGTGATTAGACACATGTTGGCTCAGGCGAATATGTCTGTGTGGGCTGTTCCCTTTCCCCTGCGGCTCTGTTGCCTCTCCACTGTTGAGCCATTAAGGTGTCTACGGTCTCCCTTAGGGGAGGGGAGTGGGGAAGGATCTTAAAGTACCCAGGGAAAGGACAAGTGCACTTGCTTCCTTTTGCTAAACCCCACACAGGCACACGTGTCTTAGTGCTCCTGCTGGGTGGGCCTCATCCTCTGACCCCGCCCTCATCCATCTCAAGCTGGATTTGAAACTGGTTGTGCGCCCTCTAGTGGCAGCCCGTGGAGTTAGTGCTTCTTTTAGGATCAGCTCTTTCCACCCTTAAAGGACTCTGGAAGAGCTGACAGTTGCTGGTGATTCTGTTCCCATGTCAAGCTCAAGTTCATGTCAAGGCTGTCTATTGCCTCCAGAAGATGCCAACTCCCCCATCCTATGGAGTGAGGGTGCCAAAAGTCACAGTGGTCTCCAGTTGTCCTAAGAACCTAAGGTGCTAGACATATATTTTTTTTTCCTACCCCACAGCTGGACGAAAGCAGTTTGCCCGCCATGAATGGGCCCAGAAGGCCGCATACCTGCTGGGCTGCAGCTTGGAAGAGCTGTCCTCAGCTATCTTCAAGCACCAGCTAAAAGGTGGCACCCTGCAACGGTCCACATCCTTCCGTCAGGGCCCTGAGGAGAGCGGCCTGGGAGAAGGTACAGATGCCTGGGGCCCGTTGACTGAGGAGTGGGATTGGAAGGCCTTGCCTGGGACTTCTTGCCATCCTGGGGGTGGGCGGGTCTAATAGAGGGGGTAGATGCTTGCAGTGGGATAGCCTGGGACACTGTGCTGGCTATGTGTGCAGAGAGCATTGCTGGGCAAGTCAGGTGGCCCCAAGGACTAAAGCTACATCTGCTCCTCTGGTCCCCCAGGCACCAAACTGAGTGCTCTGGAGTGCTTAGAGGGCATGGCGTCGGGCCTCTACAGCGAGCTCTTCACTCTCCTCATCTCCCTGGTAAACAGGTAAGTACCAAGTGGAACCCAGAGGCTCCCCACTTCTGCTTTAGTAAACGCAGGTTTGATGTTTATGTTTATGGCTTGGGCAGGGCTGTCCTCCACCAGCAGAGGACTGGCTATCCTTCTAATCCAGGGGCCCTGGGTACCTGGGGAGGGAAAGGGGCCGGCCACATGCCAGGACAGAGAAGTGGGGCTCACTGTGTGGTAGTGCCCCTTCCAGCTCTGACCCAGGCTCTTCCCACTAAGGGCTCTCAAGTCCAGCCAGCACTCACTCTGTTCCATGATGATCGTGGATACACCTGGCTTCCAGAACCCTGAATGGGGTGGCTCAGCCCGCGGAGCCTCCTTCGAGGAGCTATGCCACAACTATGCCCAGGACAGGCTGCAGAGGCTGTTCCATGAGCGCACTTTCCTCCAGGAGTTGGAGAAATACAAGGAGGTACGTAGCAGCCACCTGAGCAGGGCCTCTGCACATGCGCGTCAGTGACTCCCAGTTCTCCATCCCCCTCATTCCTGCTGTCCCTGTTTTATGGATGGAGAATCACCCTGGCCCTTAGCTGTACTCTTTCTTTGTGAATAGTCTGTGTTCTAGGAAGCTGAAGGTGTATTCAGAATCCCTGGGAGGTCTTCTTGGGGTCTCTTTTTGGCCCACTTTTCAGTCTGTGAATCACTACAATGCAGTTTCTGCCTCACAGTGGGCCTGGGAGCCTCTTCTTCCAGATCCCTGTCCCAGATCTCCCAGACTCTAAGACTTGGGTGGTGGCTAGCTATTGAAACCCTCTGAAGAGAAATATGGGATGGGGTGGAATCTGAGATTTCTTCCTCCTGTGGAAAATAACATTTCTTAGATAAGAGAAGACCCCAGAGGGAGGGTGTGACTTTGCCTGCATGGGTTCTAAGATGATTGGGTGGAATGGAGAGAGGGCTTATTCTGCATTGCCTAATCAACTGGTGTACATAACAGCCGAGTATGACTACAGTTTAGTATGAAAAGAGATTATGAAAATCTTAACTGTCAAAAACCACTGAGTATTACTACCTTGAGGGGTAATGAACAATTTGTCCTTTGGGATAGTTTAGGGGGGCTCCTGCATAGAGATGACCCTAAAGGGCCTGTGCAGCCCGCTCCTGCGGGCTCTGTGGTCCCCTGTGCATTACCATTGTACCTTCCTTCCTAGGACAACATCGAGGTGGCGTTTGATGACTTGGAGCCTGTCACAGACGACGCCGTGGCTGCTGTGGACCAGGCTTCCCACCAGTCCCTGGTAGGAATGTTAGGGAAGCACAGGCTAGCCTCGCCTCTTTCCACTCGCTTGCCTGTGGTAGAGCCCCCCCCAGCTGAGCTGCTGCCGGGGCTGCCGCTGTGGCCTAAGGAAGGATCACAGCACATAGCCTGCACCGTGGCTACAGGCTCTCAGTCTACCAGTGAGAGGGCCACATATATTCCAGAGTCCCAGCCAAACAAGAAAATGTCCCTCCTCTCTTGCTACCGGAGGCTCAGACCCTGTCCTCAGCTCGGCTGAGCCTTTGGTGTACTTGCCGCAAGCTCTGGTGTCCACTGTTGTGGGTTGGGGGTGTGGGGTGAGCACCCAAATCCAGAGGCTGTAATCCTTCACTCCATTGTCACAAGAGGAAGACAGATGCTGTCTCTCAGGGCCTGTTCGAGGAGGCAGCAGCACCCTCAAACAGGGAAACAGTGTATGGGCAAAAATAAGTTTATGAGTCCTCACTGCACAGCCTTGGGGATAAGCTGTCACCCTTTTTCTTGGGCATCTTTTTGCCTGAGGCGGTGGCCGGCCTGATGAGAACTTGGCGTTTGGTGATTGTCTTCAAGTCCAGGATTTACAGCTTGTATATTTTTTGGAGAGTGATCTTTTTTCTGGGCAGCAGAGCTCTTGGTCTGCTTTGGCTCTCCCTGTTTGCCTGCAGTGGGCCCTGCTGGGCTAGCCCAGGCAAGGGGACAGATGCTTGTAGTGCCAGGAAACTCTCCAGGGAAGATGGAGTTTCTGTTCCTAACACCTGGGCTCCTGTGGTGGCCTCCCCGGAGAGCCTTTGGCATCTTCAGATGTGAAGAAGTTGTCCTGACGACTCCTAAGCAGCAGGGGGCAGACGTGTGTTAGGCTGTAAATCAGGCATCCTCTTGAGGTCTCTGCTGTTTGATGGTTCTGGACAGGGGTCTCACTCCTTCCTGCTATTCATCTCCAGATGCTAGAATACCATCACCACCCACTGGTCTTTGGCCTCCTGGGAATCATACTCGATTCCTTTCTATGAGGAAAAGATATAGGCAGTAGATCAAAGAGATCAATTTTCTTATTTTTCTAGTCTGCCAGGCCTAAAAGCCAAGCAAGATGCGGTATGGGCAGTTCTTCCTGCCTAAGGAAGACAAGAGAAATACCCAGAGACACAGGAAGGGCACCTTCAGGCCAGATGTGGCCCCAGGCCCAGGTTACTTGGTCTCCATGGGGTATTAGAAAGAAGGATTCTAGCCTTTCTTGAAAAACCAGAGGCTTAGAGACCAGGCAAGTAGCTCATTTGGCAAAGCTCTTTCTGTGTAAGCGTGAAAATTGGATTTCACCCAGGAGACAGAGACAGGAGATCCCTAGAGAAGCTGGCTAGCTAGACTAGCCACGTTGGCAAGTTCAAGCAAGAAACCCTGTCTCAATATATAAGGTGGAGGCAAAATGATGAAGGAAGAGACCCGGCATTAACCTCTCCTCCACAAGCATATGCACACGTGAGAGAGGGGGAGAGAATGAGAGAAAGGGGGAGAGAGGAAGAGGGAGGGAGAAAAAGAGAGAGAGAGAGAGAGAGGATGAGAGATAGGGAGAATGAGAGAGAGGGAAGGAGAAAGAGAAGGAGAAAGGGAGAGAGAAAGAGAATATTTGCCAACACCCACTACTTGCAGACTCTTCCAGGCCAGTCTGCTTGAATGTCGTCATTCCCTTCAGATAGGGACATCCTGCTTTTACCCACTCTGCTTCTGCTGGCCACTACCTCTAAAGAGTCACCTGCCTCGGGGGTTTAGTCCTTGTGTTTGTGGCCAGCAGCGATCTGGGCACTCTCTGGATTCTCCCCACGGGGACCAATGTTAACCCGACAGCCATCATTTATGAAGAGCCCTCTTTGAAGCCGGGTGTGGTGGCACATGCCTTTAATCCCAACACTCTGGAAGCAGAGTCACATCGATCTCTGTGAGTTTGAAGCTGCCCTGGTCCACAAAGTTAGACCCTATTTCAAAATAAATAAGCAGAGAAAGGCCTCCTTTGAGCTTTGGCTGTGCACAGACTTACAGACTTCATCGCAGTGAATCTTCCAGGGAGTGAGGGCAGTATGGGGTCTGACCTTGCTCCCATGGCCTCTGAGGGGATAAAGATTGAGGAGAAGCTCTAAGTATGGGTGCACCTCAGAAGAAGCTTCAGTCTTGGGTACCTTTGGACCCCAAGTCCCAACAGTCTTTTGTGGTGGATTCTTTGCATTCTTTCTTAGCTCTTTTCCCATCTATGCCCATGTCATCCACAAGGCGGCAGCAGTGAGCAACCAGAGCCACACCGTTCAAATTCAAGCACGTGTTAACTGTGTGGTTGGCAGGGGACGGCTCCTTTCGCACAGCTCTAGGCAGCTAAGCTGGATCTTTCCCCTTGAGCGTAGGTTCGCTCGTTGGCCCATGCCGATGAGGCAAGAGGACTACTGTGGCTCCTGGAAGAGGAGGCACTGGTGCCAGGTGCGACGGAGGATGCCCTCCTGGACCGTCTTTTCTCTTATTATGGCCCCCAGGAAGGTGACAAAAAGGGTAGGTGGTGCCTGGAGGACAGCCCTTCTGCTTTGGAGAAGCCAGGTGGAGTCTCTACCTGTATGTCAGTGTCTGGGTCCTAACAGAACTTTGCTTCATGCACCCTCAGGCCAGAGTCCTCTTCTGCGCAGTAGCAAACCACGGCACTTTCTCCTGGGCCACAGCCATGGTACCAACTGGGTGGAGTACAACGTGGCTGGCTGGCTGAACTACACCAAGCAGAACCCAGCCACCCAGAATGCACCTCGGCTCCTGCAGGACTCCCAGAAGTAAGGCCATCTCATATCCCAACCCTGGGCTGCCTTCCTCTGGTGATATGTCACAGTCCCATCACTAGCAAGGCAGATAAGCATCTGATCCCTGAGACAACAGTCAAGGCCACAAAGGCTTCAGGACTCAGGAATAGCCTGCAGAAATAGAGATGTGGGGCATGGTTAGAAGTGCCTATAGTTTTCAGTGTGGAGCAGAAACAACACAGTCAGCAAACTCGGTGGCACACACCTATAACCTCAACACTCAGAAATTAGTAGCAGGGGTGTCAGAAGTTCAAGGTTTTTCTTGGCTACATTTTTAGATTTTATTTTTTTAAATTATGTGTGTATAAGGGAAGGGGATGAGTACACGGGTGCAGTGCCCATAGAGGCCAGAAGAGGGCATCAGATCCCCAGGAGTGAGAGTGACAGATAAGGGCGCCACAAGAGCTGGTAAGCTCTCTCTTCAGACCTCTCAACAAAATTCAGAAACGAAAAAAATTAGTTTAAAACCCAGAAATCAATGGGTGGTGGTGGAGCATTCCTTCAACCCCAGCACTCAGGAGGCAGAGGCAGCTGGATCTCTGTGAGTTCGAGGCCAGCCTCATCTACAGAGTGAGTTCCAAGACAGCCAAGGCTGCACAGAGAAATCCTGTTTTGAAAAAACAAAACAAACAACAAAACAACAAACAAACAAACAAGGCAGTTAAAACCCAGACACCAATCACATAAGGCCTGTCACACCATAGATGGTTAACTCCTCTCCCTGTAGACAGGGACTTGTAGGGGCCAGGCAGTTAGCGGTGAAAACAATATCCATGGCTTACACAAGAGAGGCAATGAACAAGAGATGAAGTATCTAGACTAATTATATGGCGTGCTGAGCTGTGCATTAGAGACATCTCCCCTCACCACTGAGGAAGGAGTGGATTCTCGCACTGCCCACTCCCCTGCATGGCCTCTATCTTGGGTTTTTTCTTCTTCTAGTTTTGCTGTAGGATATGGGACATACTGCCCCAGTAAAGATGGTCCAAGCCTCTGGCCACAGCCATATTGGTGTGTGTGTGTGTGTGTGTGTGTGTGTGTGTGTGTGTGTGTGTGTAGGGGAGTTCCTAAGGAGCTGAGCTGTCGGGGAGTGCAGCCTCTATTGCCCCACATTGTAACTCCTTTTCTGGGCTTGCCTCCTGCAGAAAGATCATCAGTAACCTGTTTCTGGGCCGGGCAGGCAGTGCCACCGTGCTCTCAGGCTCGATTGCAGGCCTGGAAGGTGGCTCCCAGCTGGCCTTACGCCGAGCAACTAGCATGAGGAAAACCTTTACCACGGGCATGGCAGCTGTCAAGAAGAAGTCACTGTGCATACAGATTAAGCTGCAAGTGGTAAGAGTCCAGCGAGGCCCCAGGTCCCTTACTTCTGGCAGTTTGGACACTCAACACACCCATGGCACCAGTGCCCACTCAGATCCACCTGCTTTGATCACGGCTCCTGGGGTTGCTATGACTGGCTATGACTGGTCAGCCAGACCTGAGGAGGGCAGAGATGTCTGGGGTTAACAACGTCCTAGCAGGTGGCGGACCAGCTGCTCTCATATGAGGAGCGGAGGTACCAGACATCAGAGCACTGAAGGCAGTCCTTCTCCCTTTGGCAGGATGCCCTCATTGATACCATCAAGAGGTCCAAGATTCATTTCGTGCACTGCTTCCTTCCTGTGGCCGAGGGTTGGCCTGGGGAGCCCCGATCTGCCTCTTCCCGCCGAGTTAGCAGCAGCAGTGAGCTGGACCTGCCCCCGGGAGACTCCTGGGAGGCTGGGCTGCTACAACTGGATGTGTCCCTGCTCCGTGCCCAGCTCCGGGGATCCCGCCTGCTTGATGCAATGCGCATGTACCGTCAAGGTGAGACATCTTCCCTCCCAACCAAGCCCTGGAGTCCCAGAGCTGGCCCCATCCTGCCCTGCTGCTGTCCTGTCTAGGGACTGGCTTGAGGTCTCCTTTCTTCTGAAGATTCTTCTTACTATTCCCAGTCCAACCTGTGGCTTTATTACTTTCTACTGTGGGACTCCTCTCTTCCTCCTCGCCCTTCTCATCCTAGTCCTACACACCCACACACCCACGCATGCATGCACGCACGCAGGCACATAGGCTCCATCCCAAATGCCCTATCATTTGCTCTCTTGGCTCCTTTTTTTTTTTTTTTTCTCTTGGCTCCTCCTGCCCACCATCCCTGGTGTGGGCAGGTCAGCTCTGCCGGTAGCAGCAGATAAGAAGACTCAGTGGCCTTTCAGCTCCACCTGCCCAAGGGGAAACAGGTGCTAAATCTCTTGGAAGTATTTAAAATTCCCAAGAAAGGTCAAAAAGACCCTTTTAATGGACCCAGCTCCAGGGGGCGGGTGCTAGGATGGCAGTAGTAGCAGTTGCCATCTGTACAGTATTTATGGCTCGCCAGGTGCTCTGCCCAGCTCTTCCACACAGTAATTCACAGCAGCCTCATGAAGCAGTAACTGTTATCATCCCTAAGTACGGAGGCAAGACTCAGAGAGGCTTAGGAGCGTGCCCAGGGTCACCCCGTGGCAGAGCTGGATTCCAGCCAGGCAGGTTCGCTTGTCTAGCCTCTCTTGTCTCACAGAGAAATTAGGAATTGCCAGGTTTCTGCTCTTTGTTCCCTGCCCATCACCTAGAAGCTCAGGCCGGGCCCCATCCACCCACAGACAGGTCCCTCCAGGTGTCCCCACAAGCACCTTCGTTTTTCCTCAGCAGTGAAAGCCAGGAAACAGGTTCCCTACCCTGTTCTAAATAAATCATCGATCTGTCCCCACGTCTTGATATGGAGTTGGTGTTTATTATTTCAAAACCAGATTGTTACCGCTCTGAACCAAAATCAATGTGCTTTACTCAAACAAGCAGATCGATGAGGCCAGCGGCAGCGGCCTCCCCCTCCCCCGGCCCCCAGCCACCATCGATAGCACTGATGATTAATTAAGATGCCAGGCGTCCAGACCTGCTATCCTGGCCCATCAATTTAATTGCAATTCAGATACAATCAATAGCTCACTTTGTCTTGGCCCCTCAGCGGCCCCCGCCTCCTGTTTCAATTATCAGGCACATGCATCAGTCTCATCTCCCAGTTGGAGGGTTTCCCAGAGCTGCCTGGCCAGAGCAAGCCCCCAGCTGGCTGTCAGCACCCCAGGTGTGAACTCCACTTCTGCCTCCAGCAGCAGCAGCCTTGGTGACCTTGGGTGACCCAGTGGCTCCAATCTCAGGCCTCAGTCTCCATGGCTGAAAGCTGAAGTGGGTCCACTTGGGAATCCCCTTCCGGCCTGGAACTCTGGAGTGGACCTTGTGGCCCTCTACTGTGGGCCCTGGTGAAATCTGTATGATTGGAGTCTACTGCTAGCCTCTCTCCTGACCTCGTTCTGAGCCAGGAGCCATCTTACCCTTCACTTGATCTCAAGCCCAGACACTTTAGGGGAAGAGAATTTCAGGGGTTTTTTGTTTTTTATTTTTGTCATTTAGCTTTAAACTCAAGGTCAAGGTGGGGTGGGGGGGAGCCCTTCCATAATCCAGCTTTAGGAGACAAGAGACCGGGATGTCCCATTTCACTGAGCGTTTACTCGCCAAGCCGTACTTACTTCACATTTTCCCACTTCTCTGTGACTGCCGTGTGGAATAAGGTCCAGGGCCCTGTCTAAAGGTGAAGATGGGCCTGGAGTGTAACTTTAGCTCATGATAGAGAAGGAGCCCCCACTCAGGAAGCCTTCCAAATGAAGATCACGGAGGACAGCTAGCTAGCTGATTTGGGGATGGCTGGACGGTCTGGGTGACCTCTCTAGGATACTTTCTACCCTTTCAAGTTCAGGACTCTGTGATAATACAGAGACTGAGCGAAGCTTTGAAGCCTTAATAAGGAAAAACAGTAGGACATCAGTTGGTAGTTGAAAAATGTGGGGGCTGGTCTGGGGATCCGGACCCAACTCCTTACAACCATGTGACCATGTGACTTTAACTGAGGGAGAGAGAGAGAGAGAGAGAGAGAGAGAGAGAGAGAGAGAGAGAGAGTATTTACAGTGTTGGGAATGAAACCTGGAGCTACAGCCATGCTTTACCCTGAGCTAAAGCCTTCATATCCTGTTGTCGATCTGAGGGTCTGTCCTTTCTGGGCCTTCCTTGTCCACAACCACCACTATCCCACCCCCCTCACCTCCTCGCCCTGCCAGCCCAATCAAGCTAGGTATTGATGATCTGGTTCTGGTTCTGTCTCCAGGTTACCCAGACCACATGGTGTTTTCTGAGTTCCGCCGGCGCTTTGATGTCCTGGCTCCACACTTGACCAAGAAACATGGACGTAACTACATTGTGGTGGATGAGAAGCGGGTAGGTTTGCATCTCCAGGATCTTTGCAGTCCCCCTCACTCGTGCAGAGCCCATTTTTCCTAGACATTGCAGGCTGGTTCTTTGCTCAAGGTTACTGAGTTCCAGCCAACCATAGCTAGGACAGACACAACAGGATGGCAGCCTGAAGTCAGCTCAGAGCATGGCTGCAGGAATTGGAGAGGAGCCATTGTTGTTGAAGGCCAAAGATTTGGGTATCTGTGCCTTAGGAAGCCAGACAGTCATACTGAGAAAACATACCAGAGCCTCCCGACTAGATGACTAGGTTTGTGTTTTGGGTAGCCCACTGACAGCACCTGGGTCCCTTGGCCTCGGCTTTCATCCCTCAAGTAGGAATCTGTTTAGGGCCAGGCAAGCCTCCTTCCTAGGAGGAGGCCGAGATGGCAAGTCTACTTTGGTGCCAGGAGTTTATGGGTCTGTGAGCCTCTTACAATCAAGAACGATGAATTCCCCTGCAAGAAGGGGTGTCTTTACCACTTTACCCTGCCACCTTGCCCTCCAGAGCCAACTCCTCAGGCAGCCAATAGGTTCCTTCCTTGTGTACCAGCCTCATGCTTCCAACTTGGCTCTGAAAGCACCTCAGTCCTCGGGAGGCTTCCCTGAAGGGAGGGCACAAAAGCCTGGGGAAGGAGAGCCCATGGCATTGCCTAGTCTGTCCCTTCATGTTCCACCCGTGCTCTGACTCACAGACATACACTCTTGAAAGCCTCAAAGATGTGTGCAGTCTTGGGTCTGTCAATGCTCCTCACCTCCTCACGTAGGTCCTGACTTCATCCTAGCTCCTCTCTCAGCTACAGACTGTACCTGTCTCCCTGGAAATGCTGTCCTTCCCAGACTGTCCTTTCTGCATGAACTTCTCTGATCACGGCATCCATCTTGTAGGTGTCCCCTGCTCAAGACATCTGCTGTTGGACTCAGCAAGACCTTTCCAGTCTAGACCAAATCTATTCTCTGTTCCATGACTATTTTTAAAAGTTTACTAGCCAGGCAGTTGTGGCACACGCCTTTAATCCCAGCAGTCGGAGGCAGAGGCAGGTGGATCTCTGAATTAGGGCCAGCCTGGTCTACTTAGTGAGTTCCAGGATAAGCTAGGGATGCACTGAGAAACCCTGTTTCAAAAGAAGGAGAAGAAGAAGAAGGAGGAGGAAGAGGAGGAGGAGGAGGAGGAGGAAGAGGAGGAGACTTCATTTCTGCTCAGCCTTGACACCGAGCCTAACCTACCCATCACAGCCTCTACCATGCTCTCCTGAGCTCCCTCCCGAAGCTCCCTCTTATCCCTGCTCTGAAGGACCAGCCCTCGGGTGGCTGTGCCCTTCATGTTAGACTCCCAAGGGCCAGGGAAAGAAACTGTACAACTCTGTAGACTTAAATCCCTCCAGGCTTGTGATCGTCAACTTTAGGTGGGCCCTTGGCACGGCCTAGCAAGGCCTCGGTGCCCTTCCTTATATGGCTTTAGCACCAAGCTCCATGCCTGCTCTTCCTTCCGTTCATCTTTGTCCTCACATCTCCCACTACCTTACCTTCCCACGTCATCTACCTAGTAGACTACCTTGACTCTGACACCGAAGGTCTAGCTTCTTCTACATCTCTATGGTTCTCTTCACCTTCCTCCTTCTTCCTGTCCCCCATCCTGCCTTGGTGGAGACAGGGTGGAGGTGGGACTTTTATTTTTTGGGGCAGCTCTTTTCTCTGCAGCTTAGAATCCATTCCATCAGGGATAACCATTTCTGTCTTGATCTTCAACCTCTCCTAGCTCTTCTGTCTATAAGAATGGTTCCAGAGATATCGGCCATGGATGAAGCCTCAACCTGGAAGGCCTCGTGTCCAGCTCCTGAGCTGACTGGCTCAGCTCTCTAGCCTGAGGCCGTCCAGTCTTCTCTCCTGAGCTCCTGCTCTGCTGCCTCAGCAGCCTGTTCTCCTCTCTGGTGTCTTGGGGATGTTCTCCCCATTACTTCCGTGTTGCTAGAGCCACTGGACACTTTTCTATTCCCTGTTCCTTGATTTTTTTTTTAAAATGATTCATTTATTTTTATGTGTTTAAGTATTTTGCCTACATGTATGTATGTGTACAACTTACATGCTTGTGCCCATGGAGGCCAGAGAGGGAGTCAAATCCCCTGGAACTGGGGTTACAGATGGCTATGAGCCACCATGTAGGTGCTGGGAATGGTGGGAATGGACCCCAGATTTTCTGGAAAAGTAACCAGTACTCTTAGCTGCTGAGCCACCTCTTCATTCCCCCCCCCTTTTTTAAAAAAGATTTATTTATTGTGTATATAGTTTTCTGCCTGCATGTATACCTGCAGGCCAGAAGAAGGCACCAATTTTCACTATAGATGGTTATAAGCCACCATGTGGTTGCTGGAAATTGAACTCAGGACCTCTGGAAGAGCAGTCAGTGTGCTTAACCACTGAGCCATCTCTCCAGTACCCCCTGCCCCACCCCACCCCCCCAACTTTTTTTTTTTTTGAGACAGAGTTTCACTATGTAGTCCTGAGTCTCCTAGAAATCACTATGTAGACCAGGCTACTCTAGAACTCACAGAGCTCTATCTGCCTCCAGCTCCCAAGTGCTTGGAATAAAAGTGCACAGCACCTGCCTGGCTGTTCCTTGGGTTCCTGCTGTCCCTTGGGCTCCTGCTGTTCCTTGGGTTCCTGACTTTACTGACAGCTCTGTCATTTTGACTGCTCACCTTCTCAGGCCCCATGCTAGCTCACCAGTCCCTGCTCTCCCCCTGGAGGCTTCTGCTAACTCAGCACTTCAACAAAGCCCTCACCCCTCAGTACACCATCTTGGCTCTATTGTTTATCCCACCCCCTCTTCCTGGAGAGCGTCATTGTCCACGCCCATCACTTCTCTTACCACATATATATTGATGATCTCTGATCAGTCGCAGCTGGACCTCTCTCCTGCGCTCCAGGCGCACACGATCTCACTGCTCTAACCCCTGACTGAGCACTCTCAGACCTCTCATTCTCTTGCCTCTCAAACCTGTTCTTCTTCATACGTCCCATGCCTTGGTGAGTGACCTCTTCCACTCCGACTCTATCCCTTCCTGAGAGAACGAGTGAGTTCCCAGGCACGGCTGCTGACTTCTCTTGAGGCAGTTAAATCCCCGCCCCTTACTCTTGCAACATATAGTCTCTCATCTTGTGACCCCGGCCTTTGCTCCAGTTGGCAGCACTGCTTTGAATGCCCCTTTCTATGCGGCAATTAAATTCTCCGGCCAAGCTGTACTGTTCTGGGGTCCTTCACTCGCCACTCCGGACTGGCTTCCACGCTTTTTATTTTGATATACTTCACTTGTCTTGCCTCCCACTCATCTGCTCCCCAGCAACACAATTTGCTCCTCTTCAGTCAGCTCTGGTATCCAGAGTGGACACAGTAGTAGCACCATGGAAACCTACCTGAGGGGCTTGTGGAAGAGATGATGGGCTTTCTAGGAGGGATGGGGCGGGGGCGCGTAAATAGAGATGGTGAGAGCCTGTTCAGCCCTCATGGCAGCCTTCTTTCCTCAGGCTGTGGAGGAGCTACTGGAGTCCCTGGACCTGGAAAAGAGCAGCTGCTGCATGGGCCTGAGTCGGGTAAGTTGCACACATGTGGGCAGCCAGATGTTTGCTCCCCAGTGGCCCCAGGCAGATGGCTGGGCCTCCTTTCTGTTCTGCTGCTTCATCAGACCTTGAAATCTCCCCGTGTCCCTTCTGAGTCTTGCTCCCCAGCTCCCCACTGGCCACTCAGGAACTACCCTTTCTTCAGCCAGAAGCCAGGATGTAGATACTCCAGTTTCAGCAAACCACTTTCTTGCCAAGATAGCTAACTGATTCAGGACTGTGAAACCTCTGTTGGGACGTGGCTCTGAACTTGGCGTGAGGCCCATTTGGGGAGTGGGAAACAGAAGGGCTGGACTTGAATGGAGGATGAGGCCAGAGGCAGCAGGAAGACTGTTCCAGAATGTTATCAGGGTCTATAAGAGCAAGCAAGGACACGGCGAGCTGGGCCACCACCTGCCCACAGGCTTCATTCCTCATCTAAATGGAATGTGTAGCATAAAAAGCAGGCTCTCCTGACCTTGGGCTCACACGAAAGGCCAACTGAGCAATCCTCCTACAGGCAGGGAGCCCTGCCCACCTCTCCCCTGGCTGGAAAGCTCGGATTGGAAGCATTCTTGAATGTGCTCTGGGGACTGGTGAGGAGCAGGGGCAGGGGTAGCAGACAGAGAGTCACTGATACAGTGTTCTTCTGTGAGCAGAGAGGAAAGGGTCCCTGGTCACAGGGCCTCTTACAGTGTGAGGTGGAGGGAGAGGCACACACGTTCCTTGTTGTCTGTCCTCTGTCAGTGTTTCCTGATTCACTGTGTCTTCTCATCTCAGTGCCTGGTGTCCTTGGCTCCCTCTTCTCTGTTGAGTCTTTGAAGTCCCTTCTGCCCTGTTTGTTGCTTTCTGGTCCTGTTTTTCCTTTCTCTCCATATTCTGTGTTTGTTCCCACCCCTTTGGTATTATTTATCTGCTCTGGTCTCTGCTTTGTCTATGACATTTGGCTCCCTTCCTTTCTCTCTGGTCACCTTCCACTATGTACACACACACGCACACACACTTACACACACACACACACGGGGTGGGGGAAGAGAGACAAAGAGACACACACACATTCACACACCACACAGAGAAACACACTCATATACACAAATTGACACACACACACAGACACAGACATACACACACTCATACACACAGACACAAACACGTGTACACATACACAGACACACACAAACACAGACAGTCAGACACACACACACACACACACACACCTTTTCTGAGACTCAGAGACTGCCAGCTGGACTTCCTGCAGTCAAAACCATTCCTTCAGCTACGAAGAACCTCTCAGATTAGCTCACACCCAGGTTTTTCTGTGAGCTCCTACCCCTCTAGCCGGCTGGACCGCTGCAGGCTGGTACTGGGAGTGGCACTCCTCCAAGCCAGTTCCTAGTTTCCCAGACACATCTCAGGCAGGAACAGGCCTGCACAGGTTGCTCTTCTTCTGGCTACATCTTAGACTCTCAGCTATCCTGAGTCCTTCCAGGTACCAAGCTGAGGCAGGTGAGCCACAGGGGCCTACTGGTACTAAAGGGAAAAGGGGTCGAGGCTGGGTGTGTTTGCTTTGAGACAAGAAGCTTTAGCTTTGCAGGCTGCACTTAGCACTGGCTGATGGTCAAGGACTGGGTGTCTGTCATAATGCTTCAGTGGCGTGGCTTCATTAGAGGTCACTGGTCCCTGGAAGGTCAGGCTAAGACTTTTGGAGTCTGAGAGCCTCCTGATACTATAAAGTCTGCATTAATGAGTATTCAAGGGAGGAGATGCCGAGAGTCTCTCCTTGTTCTCTCTGTGTGTAAATGTGCATTCATGCATATGTGCTTGTAGTGGGTGCTGTTGAATAGAGGTCAGGGGTCGAATCTGGTGTCTTTCTCCCTGGTTCTCCACCTTACTTATTATTATCATCTTTGTTACATTTATTTATTTAGAGAGGCTTGGAGGGTGTTTGGGCATCCTTGTGTTAGAGGACGGCTTGCAGAAGTTCATTCTCCTTTCTGCCATGTGAGCACTGTGGATCTAACTCAGGTGCTCGGGTTTGGTGGCCAATGACAATTCACTGAGTCACCTCCTCAGCCCTGTCAGTCTTGAGTTTTTTGAAACAGGGTCTCTTACTGAGTTGGGAATTCAGTGACTAACTAGACAGGACAGCCAGCATACTCCAGGACCGTCCTCTCTCTGTGCCCTACCCAATCCCCAGGACTAGGGTTACACACAAGTGTCACCACACCTGACTTTTATTTGGGTGCTGGGTGCCTACACTCAGGTCATTTTGCTTCTATAACAGGCATTTAACAAGGCGAGCCATTTCCTTAACTCCCCTCAAAAAGGACCCTTAACTCCACAGACTTTGAAGAGATTTGAGGCTTGCATCTGTGGTCTTTAGAGCATTATTTCTTATTGTGTTTCTGAGCCATTCTGGCTCTCTGTGTCCACACTCCTTTTCCCTGTGTGCTACCCAAGCATATTTGCTGGACCTAGGAGCAAACTGGCTATTCTTCCCCTCAGAGGCTCGCATATATATTACTGGGAACTGACGTATGAGTCAGACTTAAGATGCATATGGAATCCCACTGGGACAGTATCACAAGAACGGAGCTGGTCTCAGGATGAGGCTTCTGTGAGGTTACCAGATGCTGACCAGGTTTAGGCTTTCTCCTTTCTTCTTCCCTGTAGGGGACTCTGGGATCCTTCCCCTATAAGAACTTTATATTACCTGTGTTCGTCTTCATTTCCCATCACTGACCCGCAAAAGGGAATTCCTCTGTCTTTCTTCCTTCCTTCCTTCCTTCCTTCCTTCCTTTCTTTCTTTCTTTCTTTCTTTCTTTCTTTCTTTCTTTCTTTCTTTCTTTCTTTCTTTCTTTCTTTCTTTCTAACATGTATTGCTTATATGCCACCCCCCTGCTCCACTTTACTTATAAGGCCAGTGCTCAGGGCAGGAGAGAGAAAGAGAGAGAGAAAGAAAGAGAGAGAGAGAGAGGGAGAGAGAGAGAGAAAGAGAGAGAGGGGAACAGCTGGGTGTAGGTCCCAGCAGGTTTCCTACACATCTGTCTTCCAGCCCCCAAACCTGTAGGACAGGTCCCTTGCTGGGGCCCATGCACACCCACCTCACCAGCTCCTTCATGAGAGTGTGAAACCCCAGGGGGTAGGGGTGGGGCAGTGACATGAAAGAGGAGGTGGCTGGAAGAAGCAGAGCAGCAGGGTGGACAGGTAGAAGCCCCACCCCCACCCTAGTCTTTCCCCCACATGCGGATCTCAGACCTTCCTCTCACACCCAGACACACAACCTCACCCCTCACCTGATGCCAGGCAGCTGGAGCTATGCTTGGGCCCTGGCTCCTGCCATGCCACCCAGCACAGTGACAGGATCGAAGACACACCTGAAGGGCCGCCCCTCTTTGTTTGACCTGTGAGGGCTTCCTGTTCCTGTGCCTGGTATCTTCTTTCTGTGTGCTGTTGTCATCTCTCTTTGAAGTTAGCCTTCCCCTTGGGCCTGGCCCTTCCCCAGCAGCCCTGCCGAGCACCTCCCCTCCTCTTTTGGGCAAGTGGATTTTCAGGCTGTTCTGGAACCAGGGTCTACACTCCCTAGGCTGCTGGTTCCCTGTGCCAGCTGCCTGTCCCCCTGGTACCTCCTCTTGTCTCTTTGCTGCCCCAGCCTAGTCTCCAGCTTTTACCAGACTGCTTCCCCGACAGGTGTTCTTCCGGGCAGGCACGTTGGCACGGTTGGAAGAGCAACGAGACGAGCAAACCAGCAGGCACCTGACCCTGTTCCAGGCGGCCTGCAGGGGCTACCTTGCCCGCCAGCACTTCAAGAAGAGAAAGGTGCTGCTCTAGGGATGCCCCAGCCTAGATGGCAGAGTACCTGTGGGAGGGCATGCAGGATACATGCCAGGGAGGCCAAGCAGTTATCATCATCTGAGAAGGAGGTGGGAACCTCCCCAGAGCACCGTGCCTGGGCTGGATTGGGCAGCGTGCTTGAGTGCCGAGCAGTGTGGGCACGTGCCCCAGCTGGGGTACTGTGTTGTGGGAGTGTGGGGGAAGCAGGGCCCAGGCAAAGGTGGGCTCTGGTTCATGGGCTGCTCTATGAAGATTAAGGAGCTGTGTCAGCGACTCCTTTTCTTATTAGCAAGTCCATAAAACAGCCAGCACTGCCGCCTCTTGTGTTTCAGCAAGATTAGGTTTTATAGCATAGCTAGGCCAGGGTGCTGGAAATAATCAGGCAGCAAATAAAGCAGATGAAATTATTCCTAATGACAGTGGGACGTGAGTACCCTGTGTACCACTCCTGGGCCTGCCCACCGTCAGAGGGGTGAGGGGATGTGGGAGCCAAGGTGGGCATGAAAAGGGTCTGGTTCTGGGTCAAGGGTCCTAGGGAGCCGACCCAGGGGTTATGTGGGCGGTGGGAACTGGCTTGGTCAGGAGAACTGAAGGTCCATCATGTGGCAAACTCAACTGCAGATCCAGGACCTGGCCATTCGCTGTGTGCAGAAGAACATCAAGAAGAACAAGGGGGTGAAGGACTGGTCCTGGTGGAAACTCTTCACCACTGTGCGGCCCCTCATCCAAGTTCAGCTGTCAGAAGAGCAGATCCGAAACAAAGACGTGCGTGACCTTCAGGGCCAGCTGGGTCCCGGGAGGGACTCCATGTGTATGCAGGGGTCTTGCTGGTCTGTCTTGGGCTAAGGTACTCTTAGGATCAGTTGGAAGAGCTAGTGTCTTTGAACTATGCCCAACAGGCATATGTCCCTCTGGAGTGCTGTCTGGGCCCTAGGTAGCTTCTTAGGATAAAATTGCAGGCATCCCCTGCTTATGGAGAAGGGTCTAGGCTCAGGAGTCCTGGGAGGCTCTCCTGTTGTGTGCATGCCTCCCCTTTTCGTCCTCAGGGACAGACCTGGGGTCTTCACCCCTCATGGCATCTCATTTGGTCCCCACAGGAGGAGATCCAGCAGCTGCGTGGCAAGCTTGAGAAGGTGGAGAAGGAGAGGAACGAGCTCCGGCTCAACAGTGACCGGCTGGAGACCCGGGTGAGTGAGTCCAGTCACCAGAGAGACTGGTCCACTGTCCCAAAGCGCCCTGCCCTGGCCCATGAGCCTGAGTTTCTGGCTGAGTGAGGCAGTCATTTCAACCAGTGACCCCCCTCCCCCAACCCCAGATCTCAGAGCTGACATCGGAGCTGACTGATGAACGCAACACAGGAGAGTCCGCCTCCCAGCTGCTGGATGCGGAGACAGCTGAGAGGCTCCGGACCGAGAAGGAGATGAAAGAGCTACAGGTGAGAGCGGGGTGAAGACCGCAGGCTAGTGACCACCACACTCGCTTCCCCTCCCAAAGCTGGCATCTCTGTCTGCCTGGGGTAAGCCTCTGGTTTAGGATGTTGGATAGACAAGCCGGGAGAGGACTGGCAAGGCTGACGGGCTGTTTCCTTCAGACTCAGTATGATGCACTGAAGAAGCAGATGGAAGTGATGGAGATGGAGGTGATGGAGGCCCGGCTCATTCGGGCAGCCGAGATCAACGGGGAGGTGGATGATGATGATGCAGGTGCGCGTGGAGTGGAGGAGGGAGGTGGAGGCCTGAATGGCACACCCTGGTGTCTGTCCACCCCTGGGTAATCACACACCCTGTCTAGCCTTGTCTCCCCTTCTCCGAGCTGTTTTAATACTAAAGTAAATAGATGAGAAGGTAGAGTTGCTAAAGTCAGGCATGGTGGCACGTGCTTGTAATCCCAGCTAACCGAGTTCAAGGTCATCAACCTTGATAATAAACTCAAGGGTGGCCTGGGATACATGAGATCTTGTCTCAAAAGTCAACCAGACAAAGACCTCAAACCCACGATGTCAAGGTGCTGAAAATAAACGGGTTGAACGACTGTGGTAGTGACAAGGGCCATGGTCCTGGAGGCCTCCAGGGAGAAGATCGCCTAGGTGCCCTTGTTGCCCTCTCTAGAGTTTCCCCTCGTAGTGGTTCCTTCTAGCCATTGTTCCAGAAACACTCCTACGTCCTTCTGGGTGTCTCCCCTGCCCCTTCCTGGGGACCCTCAACAGTTCAGGAACTGTCTGCCCTGCACCCTGCAGGGGGAGAGTGGAGGCTGAAGTATGAACGAGCTGTTCGGGAGGTGGACTTCACCAAGAAGCGGCTCCAGCAGGAGCTGGAAGATAAGATGGAGGTGGAGCAGCAGAGCCGGAGGCAGCTGGAGAGGCGGGTGAGGCTGGCCAGGGGACCGAAGCCTGTGCCCAGGGGGCTGGGGCTCAGTGCCATGCCTATTGGCATACAAGCCAGAGATAGGCAGACCCTGAGAGGAACAGGGAAGTGGTGTGTTAGCCAGTCCTGAAGGGACAACTAGGAACCACCATGTGGGTATCCTGTCTTGGGTTCCGAAGATGTCCCAGCCTATCTGGGCGGCGGCTGACCGTGTACACACTTCCTCCACCTCTAGCTTGGGGACCTGCAGGCAGATAGCGATGAGAGTCAGCGGGCACTGCAGCAGCTCAAGAAGAAGTGCCAAAGGCTCACAGCTGAGCTGCAGGACACCAAGCTGCACCTGGAGGGCCAGCAGGTCCGAAACCACGAGCTGGAGAAGAAGCAGAGGAGGTGGGTGGTCCCGCCCCGAGCTCTCAGTGCCTGCGAGCCACAGGACCTGAACTTGGCCAGAAGCCTCACCAGCATGGTCATCCATGCTGTGACACAAAACAGGCTCTCTCCTGATCTCCCGGGAGGACTTGGGCCGAGTCTACTTGGAAGGCCATTTAGGCCCCTCTTAACGTGTGTTCCACTCGAAGTGTACCTGTCATCTGTCCCAAACCAAAAAAGGACAGGCTTTACCAAGTCCAGAGCCACTGGGTCCCAGCCCCTGGCCCTGCCCCCACCCCGCCCTGCCTGAGACGCTCTTGCTTGCCTCCACTACATAAGGCACTCTCCTGACTAATGTCATTAAACCACCGTGCCACTTCCATCTCATTATGGTAATGGCACAGAGGAGGGGGCGACCCTCAGAGGAGAAAATCCAATCTAAATTAATTTCCCTGGCTGGGGATGGGATGGGACGCTTTTATTAGCATCGTGAGGAGCCCACACACCCTGGGAACAGTGGGGTGCCCTAGGGAGCGGGAACAGCGCCTGCTTCCCCTCTGCCAGCTTCTGTAAAGGTACCAATTACCTTTGTGAAGGGTAAACCTCACCCCATGACCCTGGAGTGAGAGGGGCAGAGCAGAGTCCTGCTCCTCACTGTAAAGACTTACCTTACTGTCCCCAATTCCCTGTCACCTTCCTTGCGAAACTGCTTCCTGTGACTCTGAGGAGAACAAGGGGGCTCAGAAGGCTTTTCTGTCCCCTCCAGGACAGCCAGACGGTCCACTTCTCTCATTCTTTAACCCCACTCTACCCCTTTACCTAAAGACTGGCGCTCTTAGCAGGAGACCCCTCCTTCATGAGCACCCCAATAATGGTGCCAGCTTGGCCTAGTTACCATGCCTTGGCAGCCCCTGCTGGGCAGCTTATTAGGTTTCAGCTACCCGGAGCTTTCTTACTTTCATTCTGCTGTGGGGTGGGGAGGGGGCTGTGGAATTTCCACAGGAACCTGATTAGCTATGCAGGGAAGGTGTGAGAGGGGTTTCAGCAGTTTGCTCCGCAGATCTAGAGTCACTGGGCAGGAGGTGACAGGAAGTAGAGGAGTCAAGGGTGGCTTTGGACCAAGGGCCTCATAGAGCAGCACACTGCCAGCTTGGCCTAGCAGGAATGTTGTCCAGCCCAGCATGGGGTACCCTGGTGGTGACTCTGGTACTGCTGGGGTGGATGGTACTGACCAGCGACAGATGCCAGAAATGGGGTTGAAGGCAGCAGCTGTGCCTGATGTTGCTGAATTGTACACAGAGTGAGTTATACGTGCAGAACATCATTTCCACTCACCCTGTTGGCACTCTGTCTCACCCCAGCACCTTAGTTTTTGATCTGTTGGAGAATGTAGAGATTTGTCTTCTGAGGCAGGGTTTGTCCTGCCTCTTTCCCAGAAGCAGTGTGTGGGACCCTCTTACACCCACTTGATGAAGCACTGAGTGTTCAACAGGGCCTCAAAGTAGTCAGTCCATATGGCCTGGATTCCAATTCCATGTCAGCAGGGCCCCAAGTTATAACTGCGGAAGTTGCCCCCATCACCTACCCCCAGCCCTGTTGGTGTCTTGTCCCTATATGTTATGGCACCACTTCCTGACAATTGCTGGGTACTGGAGACCTAGACTTTGTCCTTCTGGTGAGGCCACCATGCTTTCACACAGGTTTGACAGTGAGCTTTCCCAGGCACACGAGGAGAGCCAGCGGGAGAAGCTGCAGAGGGAGAAGCTTCAGCGGGAGAAGGACATGCTCCTGGCTGAGGCTTTCAGCTTGAAGCAGCAACTGGAGGTACAAAGACTGACCTGCTTCCTTCTCCGTCTCCTCCAAGACCTGGGGACGACCCAGTGTCAACCTCACCTTCCCTTCCTCTCTAGGAAAAAGACTTGGACATTGCAGGCTTCACCCAGAAGGTTGTTTCCTTGGAAGCCGAGCTTCAGGACATTTCTTCTCAAGAGTCTAAGGACGAGGCTTCGCTGGCCAAGGTCAGGAAGCAGCTCCGGGACTTGGAAGCCAAGGTCAAAGATCAGGAAGAGGAGCTGGATGAGCAGGCTGGGAGCATACAGATGCTGGAGCAGGTACGGGGGTTGGCCTAGGGAGGGAGCACAGCAGGAAGTATCGCCACCCTCACCATTCACACAGGCTGGGGAAGGGCAAGGTCCACACTCATTCATTCAGTTAGTCAGTCTCTCAATCACTCATTCACCTACTCATAAAATGTGTGAGATCTTCCTTGGTCTGTGCCAGCCACAGGGTGAAGGTAGTTAAGCTGCCACAGAGCTCTGCACAAAAGCAGATCCAGGTCGGATCTAGAGAGAAAGGAAAGAGAGGAAAATGCAGCCAGAGGGCCAGGAGCCCACAGAGCAGGTGACTAAACAGCCAAGTCAGTTCAGGGGGCCCTGCTCAGGGAGGGAAAGTCTCCCCCTCCCAGCCTCCTTCTGAGCCTTGGCCAGGCATTTAGTAAGGAGGCACGCCACAGCTTCCATGGAGAAGTTGGCTGCCAGGGGCAGAGTAGAGCAGACAGAGAGAACTGGGGTGGAGGCAGTCCGTGTACCTCAGACGGGGCCCTGTTGGGAAAGGAACCTTGTCCTGACTCACAACCCACAGGCCAAGCTGCGTCTGGAGATGGAGATGGAGAGGATGAGACAGACCCATTCCAAGGAGATGGAGAGTAGGGATGAGGAGGTGGAAGAGGCCCGGCAGTCATGTCAGAAGAAGGTATGGCATCTCAGCTCCTTCTAGGCTGCTTTACAGACCTGATCTTTCTCACCACTTTACAGTGAGGGGCTTTGTTTTTCTGCCTTAGCCCCCTATAATATAATGCTATTCCGTCCCAGTAAGTCCTCTCTTAGGACTCAGGTCTGACCTGGGCTATGCCTTTCAGTCTGTAGAAACGCTTACAGGACAGCAGCTCCTCACCTGTGTGTCAGCCAGGCTCACTGAATGGGCCCCCACACTCCCCACTCTGTGTGGGGTCTACAGTGGCTCGTGGCCTGCTGTCCCATCCAGCAACTGCACCTCTTTGGGTCACCCGCACTCATCCCTGCCCCACTGTTCTGGGACGTGACGCTCAGCATGCATGGGGAGGGACTATTGGCCAAGCATCAAAAGGACAATGAGCCCCTGTCCCCATGGCTCTGCAGTTGAAACAAATGGAAGTGCAGCTTGAGGAGGAGTACGAAGACAAGCAGAAGGCGCTGCGGGAGAAACGGGAGCTGGAGAGCAAGCTCTCCGCGCTCAGTGACCAGGTACATGGGGACTCCTATAGCTACCTGTTCCAGTGACCCAAGACTGGGGATCCTGAAGACAGAACACTGAGGATGGGGCGGTGCTCTGCAGCAGGTACCATATCATGGGGTTGATGAGGGCATCATCCATCGCCCAGGCCTTTCTTGCTAAGCAACACAATCCTGATATACCCAGGAGAGCATCGTTGCTCATTTTGGAGAGTGTGAGGATGGATAAAGTTAGCAGTCAGCTTGGGGAGGACTCAAGGAAGTCTAACGGTGGGGCTCAGTGCCTTCCTGGATGGTGTCCCCCCAGGTGAACCAGCGGGACTTTGAATCCGAGAAACGGCTACGAAAAGACCTGAAGCGCACCAAAGCGCTGCTGGCAGATGCCCAGATCATGCTGGACCACTTAAAGAACAATGCCCCCAGCAAGAGGGAGATTGCCCAGCTGAAGAACCAGGTATCTTACTCAGTTGAATCCACTGGTTCCAGGGGTAGCCAGGACACTCTTTGTTCAATTACCTTCTCTACTGCTTGCTGGCTCTTAAGTCTTAAGATGGCTGGACAAGCCACTCAGAGCAGTCAGGTTCCCTAGGGTCTGTGTATGCCCTACAGCATGGCTATCAGGCCCTAGAGTGGTGTGGATGGGTCTTCACGCCTGCTGGAGGAGAGAACAGTGTATGTATCACAGCAAGCTGTGGCTCTCAGACTGACATTCAAGGAGAAAGAGGAGGAGCAAGGAGGGGAGGAGGGAGGGAGAGTGTCTGAGCCCCTTCTCCCTTGTGAGCCAGTGCCCTGCACAGCCCCTGTGCCCCAGAGCATGGCTGATGTTTCTCCCCTGGGTGGGGGTGGCTTGTGTCCAGCTGGAAGAGTCGGAATTCACCTGTGCAGCAGCTGTAAAGGCACGGAAAGCAATGGAGGTGGAGATGGAAGACCTGCACCTGCAGATTGATGACATCGCCAAAGCCAAGACAGCGGTGAGGGGCACAGTATACAGGACAGGGCCGGGCGCGCGCCGAGGGAGAGTTGAACCATGACTGTCTTCACCCGACACCGGCTCTTTCATGCCAGGGATTTCTGCAGGGTAGCACCCTCCTCTCCCACCCCAGTCCTCTGCTTTTTCCCAACTCAGAGCAGAGTCTTGAGAGGAGGGAGGGCTGGCAGAAGAGGGAGCCAGCCAGGGTGCACATCTCCCTGTTTAACCACCTGCCTCTGGGAGCTTGGCCGCAGGCCCTGGAATCATAAATAAAGGCAGCTAATGTGGCTGAGGGGTGTAAACAGGTGCCTGGAGATTAGCAGAAGCACTGATAAGAGGCTGGAGGCTGGGCTTCCCTCCCCTCCCCTCCCCTGCCCAGCCCACTGACAAGCCCAAGAGCAGCTAATTAGAGCTTTTATTTAATGCCTCCCTTATAATTCCCCACCTCTCCCACGGCCCATCCATCCATCGAGCTGAGTATTCACTCCTGGGATGTGGCCACCCGTACCTCCTCAGGCCAGGAACGGGGCAGGGGAGGAGGCTGATTTAGCTGTTGGCTATCTACTCATCCTGCTGCTGAGAGATGCCAATCTCACAGGCCTGATTTATCTGTGACATTTGTGCTCCCAGCAGTTTTCAGGTGAGTCATACGAATTCCTTAATTTTGTTAAAAAAGGCTGTTATAAAATTACCATTTTATTTTAATCTGAGTTAATAAATTTCTTGGCGGAGGTTTCCCCAGCTCCCCACAGCCCAGTAACAAGATGGATAGGGCAGAGAAGGAGCCAACGCAGTCATTTTGGTTTGGAATTACAGACTAATAGATTCATTCATTTCCTGAAGCTGCTGGTGCCTGTCTCTTCCCCTCCTCCACAGGCTGGGAGAGCTGGATGACCCAAGAGTGGACCATCCCCGGGGAGAACAAAATCCAAGTCAGGGGGTGTCACCAACTTGAAAGGTCCTCCCCTGTGGGCTGATGTGGGCAGCGTACATGCTGGTCAGGCTGAAATACCTGGATGATGGATCATTTGTTATGGGCAGAATTTCTACCTTCTCATTAGTCTCGAAAGAACTGCCAGGAAGCAGCTATCAATTAGCACCTAGAAGCCCCAGGGTCCGCCTGTCCCACACAAACAGCTCTGTCCCTCATCTAACTGCCCAGAACCCATCAGGTAGCTTTGCTGGCTCTGGAACCCACTCCAACAAGTCACTCCACTAGCTCCCTACCGAGGAGAGGTGGGATGGGTGGGACAGGTTTGGACATGCCACCCCAGGGCCTGCAGATACAGGCCTGATGCCCTCTGATCTACCCTTGCCCTGACCAGCTGGAGGAGCAACTGAGTCGCCTTCAGCGTGAGAAAAACGAGATTCAAAACCGGCTGGAAGAGGATCAGGAGGATATGAATGAGCTGATGAAGAAGCACAAGGCGGCCGTGGCCCAGGTACCCTGCCAGGAATGACATCAGAGTGACCTTCCTTGGGGCCTGAGCCATCTCACAGATCCCTGGATGGACTTCCTCCTCCTCCTCTCCCTCCTCCTCCTCTCCCTCCTCCTCCTCTCCTTCCTCCTCCTCTTCCTCCTCCTCTTCCTCCTCCTCTTCCTCTTCCTCCTCCTCTTCCTCCTCCTCCTCCTCTTCCTCCTCCTCCTCCTCCTCCTCCTCCTCCTCCTCCTCCTCCTCTTCTTCTTCTTCTTCTTCTTCTTCTTCTTCTTCTTCTTCTATGTAGACCTTGTAGACTATGTAGCGCAGGCAGGCCTTGAACTCAGAGATCCACCTGCTTCTGCCTCTGCCTCCACACCTGGCTCTAAATATTTCTTTGGAGAGACATAGTCTAGGTGTCCTGGCCCTTGATGGAAGAGGCTGAATTTCTGTTTCGGGGAGACCCTTTCTCCACTCATCTTTTCCTTTCCCAGGCCTCCCGGGACATGGCACAGATGAATGATCTCCAAGCTCAGCTCGAAGAGTCCAACAAGGAGAAGCAAGAGCTACAGGAGAAGGTGGGTCCCCTGGGTTCCCCTGGGAGTGAGAGTTCAGGAATCACTGGGCATGAAGCCTTGCTCTCCCAGTATAGAGGGTGTTTCTCTCTACCACCAGTAAGCTGAAGAGCAGAGTGAGCCAGCAGGAAGAGCTAGGCTTGCAGCCATATCACCATGGTAGATGTGTTGGCTTTAGCTGCCTTGTTTCACATTTCTCTCCTCTCTCTGGTCCCCAACATCCTTCTTTCTTTCTGAAGGGCAGTAACAGTGCCAAATGCAGGGACAGGCAGGGCATGGCTCTGCTGGAGCGGGGCTCTTTTGACCCTCCACTGAGTATCTCTCCCTGCCTCGTCTTCTAGTCACCATGGTGATGTTGTCTGTCCCAGACTTTTTGCTGCCCCTCCCCCTTCCAGACTTACTCCGGAGTCAGTCCTTTCTCACTCCCTCCACCCCTAGCTACAAGCTCTGCAGAGCCAGGTGGAGTTCCTGGAGCAGTCCATGGTGGACAAGTCCCTTGTCAGCAGGCAGGAAGCGAAGATCAGGGAGTTGGAGACACGCCTGGAGTTCGAAAAAACCCAAGTGAAACGTCTGGAGGTGAGTTCAGCTTCATGTGCCTCACTGCAAGCCAAGCAGAGCTGCCCTAGTGGCTGGAGCCACGCATGCTCCGAAGGGAAGCCAGGGACACTCCTGAGTCCTCTGCCAAGCTGCCGGGCCAGCTGACAGGGTGGGAGCTCCCTTCCCGCCTGCCTGGCCTGCTCTCTGGGCCCCGCAGAGCCTGCCTATTTTACATTCTGTATCCGTGCCCGCTTTCTGCCAAGGGACCAGAGCTGCTTAGCTTTTCGTCTTCATATTTTCCTCTGCCATGAGCTCCCCCTCCTGTCCCCCTCACTCACTCTCTGGTAGGGTCATAAATATGCAGCGGATGGCACCGCTGCTCCGAGGGCTGAAGTCTGCTCTCATCTCAGGGCTTGCTCGTCTTCCCCCCTTCCCCTCACTTCTTGCCTCCCTTTCCAGCTCTGTTTCTCTTCTTTCTTTTCCTCTGTTGTTGTCCTTGGTCTTTCTTCCAATGATTTCATTTCCCTCCTCACCCCTCCCCCCATTCTCCTTAACACCCCGCTTTTGGTTGGCCTTTTTCATCATGCTTGAGTCCTCCGCTGTCCCCTCAGTGGCCACTTCATGCTCTACCCCAACACACCCCTTCCCCTTCTGGTCTCCTGTAACCAGCATGCTCCAGCCCTCCCTGTGTGAGAGCGTTCACCTGTAGCCTTGCCTTGAAGCAATTCTTCTGAGCTTATGGACATCTGTCCAAGCACCATCCGGCCTGCCTGAGAACATGTTCATTGCGGTGGATGGGGAGCCTCTCTGTTGCCCCTCCCCCAGCAGTCGCTCTGTCAGCTGAGCAGGCGGTAGGAGAGGGGTGGAAACAGGTGGGCAGCCAAGGGCATTACCCACCTGGACATGGGAGGCCAGAGAGAACTAGAGGATGCTTTATAGCTTCTTTTCTGCCCCCAGGACCCTAGGACAGGTGGTCACATTCCAGGCCCCACATCACATACAGAATAGGATTTGTGTGGCTGCTGGGGGCCGGAAGAGGCCGTTGGTGGTGGATGAAGGCTCTGCCTCCTGCACCTGCCACCTCACTTATCTCTCAGAGTCCCTTCTATTCAAAAAGGCAATATTGTGGTTTGGACTCCTGAGAGCTAAATATAGATGCCCCCGAGTGACCCTGCAGCCTGGGCTGTCACTTTGCAGAGCCAGGCTGGGGTAGGTAGTCAGTGGAACAACACTGGACGCTGACCGGGTCCTTCCTCACACTCTACCTCTGCTCCAAATCATTTCCTCCTTAGCATCCTACTTACTGCTGCCAAGGAGAATACGGTCATGTTTCTGAAGGAGACAGATTCACGAGGCTGAGAGAGATAGCTCTGCTGGGTCTTTTAGTCAGACAGTCTCAGCAGAACCAGTTACCTCTGAACACTGGCTGTAGCTCTCTCTGGGAGCTTCTGAGTTCAGTCTCTGAAGAAGCCCAGATGACCATGAGGACACTTACATGACAGGCCAGCCCCTGCTCAGAGCCGCTGGAATCTCTGCAGTAACAGTCACTCCTCCAAAGACCCCTGCAGAGATGCGAGTATCATTCTCCCCGTTGATGGGCAGCAAAGCTGGGAGGGGGGGTGCTAGGGAGTCAGATCAGTTGGCAGAGTGCTAACCCCGCATGGAAGAAGACCTGCCTTTGCTCAGCACTTACGTAAAAAACAAGATGAAGTAGTGCTTCCTTATAACCCCAGCACTGGGGAGTAAAGACAGAAGGATCACCAGGGTTTGGTGGGCAGGCAGACAGACAGACAGATAGCCTAATTAGTGAGCTCTGGGTCTCAATGAGAGACCCTATCTCTAAGGACAAGATGGATGCTACCTGAGGAATAGTACAGGTTGACTTATGGTCTACATTCATGTGCACCTGCTACACACACAGGAAGACAAAGGGACGGAGGTGGGAGTGGGTTAAAGTACGTGAACCTCTAACATCCCTTAGCCATAGCTGAGTGTGGGCAAGAGCATGGCCAGATTTCCTGGTCCAGACCCTGCCAACAGTGCTTCTCTCTGACTGACAACCTACATGCTGGTCTTTCTTCTCAACCTGCTCACCCAGAGCCTGGCCAGTCGGCTCAAAGAAAACATGGAGAAGCTAACTGAGGAACGGGACCAGCGCACTGCAGCTGAGAACCGTGAGAAGGAGCAGAACAAGAGGCTCCAGCGACAGCTTCGTGACACCAAGGAGGAGATGAGTGAGCTTGCCAGGAAGGAAGCTGAGGCTAGCCGCAAGAAGCATGAACTGGTAATGTCCTGCTCCTCATAGGTCCCAAAAAGGCCTGCTAAGAACACGCCTACCCCACCCTGGGCTGTGTGGGGTCATTTCAATCCCCAAGCCTTGTTAAGTATACACTTACCTCACCATGGGTTTTGGTGGAGGACAATTCAGTCCTGACAGGCAAGAAAGTCAAGGGTGGCCCCACCAGCCAGCCTAGTAGCCCTTTGGAGGCTTAGAGGAGCACCAGGGTGGCTCCTTCATGCCAGGGAGTGACTTGCTGCAGACTCCTTCAGAGATGCTAGGGGACATTGTGGCCCTCCTGTACACTAGACCCCCCTCCTAGGAGATGGACCTGGAGAGCCTGGAAGCTGCTAACCAAAGCCTGCAGGCTGACCTAAAGCTGGCATTCAAACGCATTGGGGACTTGCAAGCCGCCATTGAGGATGAGATGGAGAGTGACGAGAATGAGGACCTGATCAACAGGTAAGAGGCGGAATCTGTGGCATCTCAGGCAGGGCGTAGGCCTCTGGAGCAGCAGAATCAGGTCCCAGGTGACGTGCAACCCCTGACATCCCACAACCAAGCTTCCATATCACCTTCCCAGTGTAGACCCAGGCGGGAGAGGCTGAGGATGTTAGGAGTGAAGGGGGTGTCTACCATCCTTTCCTCCTGTGCCCTCCCTCCCAGGCCTCCCAAAGCCCAGGCTCTGGTGTTGCCTGTTCCCCTTGAGTTATCTCCCCGTTTAGCTGCATTTCCGTTGGCGCCTGCCCTACTCTAGGGAGAGAAGAGATTTAAGGGCTGTGGTGCCTTGTTACTTGTGCTAGAGAGATTTTCTCGAATAAAACCCACCCAGGGAATGGTTTTGGAGAACGAGAGAGATTTGTAGTCCTAGGCTGAACAGAAAGCCACAAATCCAGAGGACCAGCAGTGTGGGGGAGAGGCTGGGACTTAGGTAGATCCCAGAGGCTCCCCACTTCCTATCTCAGGGTCAGGTCCCTTCCAATGTCCAGGACAGGGCAGGGCAGGACAGGGCAGTACGGCGTGGGGCGGGGGAGGGTGGGGAGGGGCGGGGCCGGACAGCCCAGGAACCTTGCTCCTTTGGAATGAGTGCTGGCAGTGAGTCTGTCCTGGTCCTGAGGATTCTGTTGCTCATTTGTACCTGATCTCAGCCAGCCAGAGATGTCATTTACTGGGGAAAGGGGAGCCATGGATGAGGACACTCCTCAGAAAGTCCATTGATTGCCCCATCTGCTTCTTGTGCCCCCCTTTGCCCACCATTTTCTTTCTGTTTCTAGTTTGCAGGATATGGTGACAAAATATCAGAAAAGAAAGAATAAACTGTGAGGACCAGAGCCATGCGCTCTTTGCCTCTCCCCATGGGTGTCTAACCATCCCTAACACAGGGCTTCCTGCAGGGGCCCCTGCTGCATGCTGCATGTAGACACAGCCTCCTCATGCTCTCCCATGCTAACACTGCTGACTGTCCTTAGGCTGGGGTGGAAGGACTGGCTGGCAGTGAAGCGTGTTCTAGAAGGCCAGACTGACCTTCGTAGCCCAGGTAGCCAGGATGAGGCTTTATTGCCTGACTAAGTCCCAGCCTCTCCTCTCTGGGAACCAAGTGTGGCCACTGACCTGGCCTGTCTCTCTGGGGGTCGAATGGTCAGGCTACATCTGTCTACACCCTTGGGCTCTTGGATCCCAAGCTGCCTGAAAGGGATGAGTCTGTTTTGTGTTTAAGGTCGGTTACCTTCCTTAGGCAGATGAGGACTGAGGATGAGGGGCATCTCAAAGCTGCTCCTTTGGAGAAAGCATTCAGGCAGCTAATCTCCTGCAGCTCTGCCCTGGCAGGGGAGGAAACAGTGGGTTGTGTTTACTTTGCTCCCTGGGGGCACCTCAGGCAGTGGTGGTGGTGATGGGGGGCACACATCTCTGTTGGTATGTCTGTCAGGTGCTGGGAGACCCAGGACATCTGCCCTCTTCTGGTGGGGGAGCTGGAAAGTGGTGTGGGTATGCAGGCCTTCAGGCGGATTTGCTGATCCTCTGTCAAGTTAGACAGGGTTGCTTTTGGAAGTTGTTTTTTGGCATGGCACTGAATTTCCTGCCTGGCAGGCCTCCTCCCCTGGCCAGGATGGGCTGGCGGCCGTGCAAAGGACTCCGGGAGAGCTAATGATAAATGTAATAGTGTGTAACAGTGATAGAGGGCCGCTGGAGCCCGGTTGTCACACACAATTAATATCCCCTGCCGTTCTGTCTCCGTTTGTTTGTTCCCCCGTGATTCGGCTCCCAGTTAACTAATAGCACATGAGCCTGGACATAAATTGTATTTGACGTGAGGTTTAATTCCGACCATTTAAAATTTCAACTGCCCCCTGAGCCTGCATGCCCCTGGAGTTGGTTTACGGGGCTGATTATTTAAGGAAGAGAACCTGAATGTTGTCTGGATTCTTACAACTAAACGGAAGGTGAGAGCAGGCATGCTAGCTTCCCAGACCACTGACTACTCTGAATGTCAGGAAGGAAATTCATATTCTGGGCCTCAATCTGTCCCTAGTGTGTTCATCCTGACATTCTTGGGCAGGAGGAACTCTGAGGGCTGATAAAATGTGCATTGAAGATCATAGTCTAAAGCATAGTCAGGCACACAGACTATACACACACACACACACACACACACACACACACACACACACACGCATGCACTAAAGCAGGTGCATGAGAACGTGCAATTCTGAGCAGGTTCCACTGATAGCAGAGAGGCTCCATCCTCAGCAGCTCCAAGTTATCGAGCGAGCATGCTAAGGCGGGCAGAAAAATAATGTTTCGATTTACTTAGAGATACAGTTGTTATTGCCATAACCTTAATGAAAGCAGTAAACAGTGCAGTATTAAGGGAGATTTATACAGAAACACTTTTAACATGTAGACATAGATTTTGCGATGCATACAGCACCTCCTTTCTAAAGCCAATCAATATGGTTATGAACGGCGGTGATAAATTACAGGGTCTGAAGCTACAGAGGGAGTTTTTTTGCACGGGTGTATAAATCAGGTAGTATTGGCGTTCCATGGGACCCATGCACCACAGTAAATCTGCCAGGCTCGAATGGGCACAGAGCTTGCATTAGTGGTTTGGGGGCTGCCTGCTAAACTCCTGTTTACCCGGGGCATCGGCAGGCCTTGTCTCTGTTATAATTCTGTATTTGATGGAAGCTCATAAAATATGTCTCTTTGTTCCCCTTCCCCATGTGCATGGCTCTCTAATGGTCCCTAGAACTGTGGTTTCCTCTGATGTGTGTGTATGTGTATGCACACACGCTTGTACATGCCTGGGTGTGTGTGTGTGTGTGTGTGTGTGTGTGTGTGCGCGCGCGCGTGAATATTTATTTATCAAGAACATAATTCAGGACCACTCTTGTTGACACAGATGAAAGGAAATTTACATCAAGGAGAAATCTTAGCCTATCTGCAGCAGGGGAATTTAGGGAGCAGACATTTTGCAGAATTTGCAAAGTATTTGCACTCAGAAACCATCTCCATGCCCCCACTGCTTCCTGAGGGGGTCACCATCTCAGAAACTATCTCCATGCCCCCACTGCCTCCAGAGGGGGGTCACCATGACTCTAGCCTCTGATTTAGACTCTTTGAGGCTTTCTTGCAGGTCCTGAGGTCAGCCTATCCAACAGTAACAGTGAAGAGGGGCTGGAGGCTGCCTAAGGGAGGAGACCTGGAGAGTTAGAACCTTGCTTTAAAACTTTCTGGGCCCCTGGGCTTCCTGCAGCTATCTGAACTCTAAAGGCATCACAGGGCCTCCCAGAAAGGCCTCTCTTCTTGTCTTCCTTCCTATTTCTAAGAGCCAGGGATACCACAAGGTGCATGTGACTGGTGCTGTGTTATCTTAAGTTTGTGTTGCCAGAGA